TGACTAATGGACAATAAACATTTGTACAGTGTGACTAATGGACAATAAACATTTGTACAGTGTGACTAATGGACAATAAACATTTGTACAGTGTGACTAATGGACAATAAACATTTGTACAGTGTGACCAGGTGGACAATAAACATTTGTACAGTGTGACTAATGGACAATAAACATTTGTACAGTGTGGCTCAGTGGACAATAAACATTTGCACAGCGTGGCTTAGTGGACAATAAACATTTGTACAGTGTGACTAATGGACAATAAACATTTGTACAGTGTGACCAGGTGGACAATAAACATTTGTACAGTGTGACCAGGTGGATGTAACCAAGTAGACAAGATGTTTGTTACACTGTACGAAAACTACATTTCACATTTTGTTATTAAAATACATTGAATGTATTATATGGTATTCTCCGTAGGTAGAGTTCGCCTTTAAGGTTTGGCAATCTTACCCAGACAGGATAGTGGGGTACCCAGCTCGATCTCATTACTGGGATGACAGTAAGGGAAGTTGGGGGTATACCAGCAAGTGGACCAATCAGTATTCTATCATACTTACAGGAGCTGCGTTTTACCACAGGTGAGGAAGTTCCCCCCTCCACGTATTACATGTGGTGTTATAATAAATAAGTTTTAGGCCAAAGTAAAAGCCGCGTAACAGTTAGTAACTTTTGATCAAAGCAATACTGGTAAATAACGAATCTAAGTTTTTTTAACTGGCCTAAGTGAAAGTAAGTAAAACCTAAAAAGTTACTTGTATGCGTTGATTCATTTATTTCGATGGTGTCGCTGTTATCGATATTTTCGGCCGTAATCCCAATAATACCTCACTAGGTTCAGCCAGATCAAGACATTTAAGTTAATTCTAAATCCACTTACGCACCATATGTAATAAACAATATATGATAAATAAATTAAAATAACAAGAATAAATGTGTTAAACATTTTAAACAGTGCTGTTAATGAAAAAAATAAGATATAACTTTACTCATACTCACATGACACGTGATAAAACTAATTTTCCCAACATGCATTAGCGCTGAATTCCTAGAAAAAGAAAATGAAAATTTGTCCAAATGTAGCATGAAAAACCTACCCCTATAAACAGAATGGGGGACAAAAAAATTCTGCTTTTACTTTAAAGAGTGTATTTTGATGTATGTGTTTTATGTGAAAAAAATGTTTTAATTTAGTTAGAATCAAACTGCTTTGTAAAATCTTGCTTAAATTCGGAGTCAGATAAATTTTATATGGCACTAAAGCCAAGAAGTGGAGTTATGATGTATTTCAACTAGATATAGAAGTAACTTGATTAGGAAGTTGCTTTATGTAACTAGTAGATTTTGTTAAAACTGGGTCGTGTTTGTGAACTTTGTTGGTCTAATATGATAAGCAATGTTGTTTGTTGGATGTTTATTTAAACGTTTCCGTGTTAAAGTTCGTTTCATTCACTGGTTTAATTGATTAAGAAATCTAGCCATGATGAGAAAATTGAGTTATCTTGTTATTTTGTATCAGAAATGTCACAACTAAGCTGATAAGACAGTACAACTTAACTGATGAGACGGTATAAATAAGCTGACAAGACAGTACAAGTAAGCTGACGAGACAGTACAGATAAGCTGACCAGACAGTACAACTTAACTGATGAGACGGTATAAACATGCTGACAAGACAGTACAAGTAAGCTGACGAGACAGTACAGATAAGCTGACCAGACAGTACAACATAACTGATGAGACGGTATAAATATGCTGATAAGACAGTACAAGTAAGCTGACGAGACAGTACAGATAAGCTGACCAGACAGTACAACATAACTGATGAGACGGTATAAACATGCTGACAAGACAGTACAGATAAGCTGACCAGACAGTACAACATAACTGATGAGACGGTATAAACATGCTGACAAGACAGTACAAGTAAGCTGACGAGACAGTACAGATAAGCTGACCAGACAGTACAACTTAACTGATGAGACAGTATAAATAAGCTGGCATAACAGTGTAAATATAATGATAAGACAGTACAACTAAGATTACGAGACAGAAAAAATATGCTGACAAGACAGCACAACTTAGCTGACAGGATAGTACAATTAAACTGACAAGACAATACAACAAAGCTGACAAGACACTATAGACAGTACAACTTAACTGACAAGACACTATAGACAGTACAACTT